ACTGTTTCTAATATTTTTCTGCAACATGTATAATCACAAATTCACTATGAATCCTAATATAACTAAATCCTAATCTCTTAGCAATTTAGTTTCTCTTTAACCTATCCAATCATCAATCTCTTGACTAACTAAACAAGCAAAAAGATAATGCACACATCATGACTCAAATCTTTAACAATAAACAAGATTCTTGGACTGAATTAAATGTCACAATATTCAATCTCAAGCAAACTAGTAAAACTATTAAAGATCCTAATGCATATTAAACCACATGCTCATCTCTAAGTCATATGCAGAAATATGGAATGATTCTTGAATATGTCTGAATGATTATTTTCTCAAATGCAACAATTCAAATCAAGAAAGATCAATTATTCGCCAATAACCGAATCTTTAACCATATGGGTTCCAATAACAAAGAATCAAACAAGATGCAAATCATTCATTTGTGTGATAGAAATCAGACTCATAAAACTACATATACATTTAATTCACCATCTCTAATGCAAAGAATATACATGGAAGATCATTCTTGAACAAGTTAATGATATCAAGATCAATGCATAATCAAATTCAACGTCACATATTCAATTTTGCAGCAATCTCAATAAGCAAAAACTATCAAATAGCAGATTTAGTAGCATTAACCGGTGTAGAACTAAACCAGAATTTGAAGAACTAATTATACCTCTCGGTTTTATCAATCCTTGCAATGATGAACAAGATTAATCCTCTGAATTGTTGTCTATAGTTGTAGATTTGAATGTGTTAGTGGGTCATTCCATAGAATTGATAGAATAGAGCTCATCCTTCTCAATTTTCAAAGAGAATTAGCCACTCATGATTATGAATGACTTCAAGAAAAGGTTGAATGTGAATCTTGAATGCATCAACATTCAAAGATCTTCAAAAAGAAAATGAAAAAGAGAGAATCTTTAACGAGAAAGAGAGTAAACTGAATATTCCTCTTAATTGAAATCAAAATCTGAAATTACAACAATGATGGAAAACTTCAAAGAATCCTAAACTAGAGCCAAGGAGAGGTTGAGAGAAAATTCTCCAAGACTTAAGAACTAAGAAAGCTAGAAATTCTAATCCTAATTTGTGAATCTATGATCTAAAATTGCTCTCCAATCTCTAAGATGTAATGTGTGTCTTCTAAGTGAAGTTTCTATCTATTTATAGGCATACATAAGAAGAAAAATCAAATACAACTTCATTTTCTGATGAAAATACGATTCTGCCCCTGTTTTGCTTTGCTTCCCACTCCACGCATATGCGTGGGACTCGATATCATTCAGGGCTGAGGTTGCATCTTCCACGCATAAGCGTGGATTTCCACGCCTATGCATGGGTCTTGGTAACTTGGCCTTGAGCTTGGATGTTTTCCACGTATATGCTTGCTTCAACGCATATACGTGGGCTTGAAGAAGCTTGGAGGATGAGCTTGCCTTCCACGCATATGCTTGCTGTTCTGCGCATATGCGTGGCTCTGGAGTGGGTTAGCATGGTAAGGTCACGTTTGAGCTCTTCCATACGTGAGCCTCAAACGTGACTTGAGAGCTTTCCACGCATATGCGTGGACTTCCATGCTTATGCGTGGGTCTTGCGAAGTTTGGAGTCACGCTTGAATGACTCTGGCGTGGGTTCAGCGTAGTTGCTTGCTGCCAAGGTGCCTTCCACGCATATGTGTGGGTCTTCTACGCCTATGCGTGGATGGATGAGGCTTGAAGAAGTCAGGGTCAAGTTTGAAACTTGTGTAAACGTGACTAGAAACGTGGGCTGTTGGTTTCCCACGCATATGCGTGGAGTTCTATGCATATGCGTGGAAAGGATGAGGCCAAGGTGCCACGCCTAAGCGTGACAGAGTTGCTTAGGCGTGGATGAGTATGTAGTAGCACGCATATGCGTGCTCTTCCACGCATATGCGTGGAGTTCTTGCTCTGCTTTGCTTCCAAACTTCGTTTCTTGCTCTGCAAGCTTTCTTTGTTCATTTTTCCTGAAAATAATCAATAAAATCATCAAAGTACCACTAATCTATCATAAAATGGTAATCATTGACATTTATAAGCATATTTAGTATTTTTGGATGATTTTAAGTTAATTTGAGGCAGAAAGTCATTCAAATAAGGAAGATAATTCTATAAAAATGCTCATGCATCACAACACCAAACTTAAACCTTGCTTGTCCTCAAGCAAGCTGAAACCATAAGTTGAATCCTTTGCTTGTAGTGTGGGAATCATTAAGTTTAAACTTTCAACTTCAATTAATTCTAATCAACCATTGACTTTCCGATAGTTCTTTGATCTCAAAAGTGTTTGCTTATTTCAGAATCTGCTTGCCTAGGTAATAGCATGATTAACTTTTTCGAAATTTTTGGAAGTCCTTCTCTCCTTTTCTTTGCTTTTGACTCTAACTGTCTTGTCAATGAAGAGGCTCTTTAGAGTGAGTTTTTCAATCAACAATCCCGAGTTTTTAAGCTCAAGTTGCTAGGTGTTGAAGCACCCCATTGGATTTACTAGCTCAAGCCTTTCCCATGACAATTCAACACAACCATTGGCCTTTCAAATCTTATTACTTTTTTGGCTCATTTGTCTTATTGAGGAGGCTATTTATTATGGGCTTTCGACCGAACAATCCCGAGTTTTCAGGCTCAAGTTGCCAAGTGATGAAGCACTCCATTGGATCTAGACCCTAGCCTTTTCTCAACACAATACAGCACTTAGCTTTTCAATTTTTATATGCCATTGATGCTCAGAGAATTTAGCTTTCTTATTATGAATCAAAGGGACTTCCTCATTATATTAGTCTTTCACACAATTACAAATGCAACAAACCTTACTTACAATACTTTTTCAATT